CATGCTCCTGTCTCTGTGCTTGCACCTCGACATATAGCCCTGGTGATTACAGATGAGCCTAGTTAGAATTAGGACGCATTTCTAAATGGCCCTGATCCTCCTTGTCGTGTTATAGATAAAAGAGCAGACATATAGGATGAATAAATTTCATATATATGATCTACTGATAGCCTCAAAAACCTACTTATTAATGAAAAATAGGTAATCCAGTCGAAGACTATACCAAATATAACTTTGATTCATAAACAATCTCACTACAGAAAGTGATATGGAAAAATTCCTATACTTCTTTAAAATACACATCTGCCCTGTGACTCAAGGGCATTTGTAGCAGTATGGCGTAATATTCAACATGTCAGGATTATACGCTGCAGTGTAATTGTTCAAGTTCCGCTGGAGCTATTGATATAACCTAGGTGAGGTCAAAATTAAAATCCACCTTGGATGAAAATACCTTTTTGAAAAGCTGGGTTATGTAAAATTCAATAGAAACATAAGGTCTATTCCTATCATTGTGGTTGTCTCGAGAACCTGCAAATAAACGAAAGATTATCATTCCCTTTTTTTCTATTTTCAGATTTTGTAGGTTTAAAAAATAACTGCTAATACAGAATAAAAGCTGTGTTTACTTTAGGTCGCGTAAGGCGATGAAGGAGTAATTGTTAATATTTCCCACAATGAAGAGTAGTAATTTTAGAGCCTATTTTATATGAATATAAGTAGTGGCCAATTGTAATGACACAAAAGCGTATTAGCCTCATTGACAATCCTATTATAAATGTGATATAGAAAACGCTTGGTCATTCTTGAAATACACTTTTGCCATCTGATCCGGGGGCACTCGTGGCGGTGAGGCGTAGTGGTGACGTGGGTTCGAGTCCCACACGGGGCGAGGTCGAATCTTCAGTTCAGACTTGATGAGAACACTTTGTTGTAAGCAATACCAAGTGGACATTTATTGGCATCGTGGTTTATACTCGTATCCTTGTGGAAAAATTCATCTATCATTCCTTACTCACCTTATGTGATCTAGGGTGAATACCGCGCTTAACCTTTCTCCCAGTTCCACTTAAGTGAAAACTGCCGGCCCAACAGATCCTTTGTTCCAGCAACAGCTGGGAGGCATTTTGGGAAATATGTGTTGCGGTCAGTCAAGTGTAGGTGTTTAAGTAATTGTTTGGACATCAAGTAATTTAACATTTTATACTCTTATCCCTCACAAGTTTCTCACTTTCTCTCTGTATATATATCTCTCTCTCTTCCTCATCCTTTTCTCGCTCTCTTTCGCAGATCCGGCTACACTGTATCAGTCCTCCAGGCTGCTCAAACCTCACACGGGATTTTGCCATCTCGGCCATCCACAAGCCAGCTTCAGATCTATCCACTTATTTGGCACATCCATCTATGCTGTCTCCCAGCCACGGGTCTGCTCCGGGCCTCTTGAGGGAGCATTTACACACAATCATTGCCACCGGCTCCGGAGTCCATGATGGACGGCTGGTCCGCTCGTCAGAAACCGGAACTCAGGTCAGTCCAATTTCTGAGTCCAGCCTCAGTAGGCTTGAGACGGTCAAGGGCTTAAGCGATGACCCAACAGGCCGGACATTTGATGCAAACGTTGGTCGTGGGGTCAGAGCTCGAAGTGGAGATGATGATGACCGTCTAGCTGTCGTTAGGTTGGAGGGATTACAATGCAATTTCCTCTACCAGGCGACAGTTTCCGGATTCACGTCTGCCGGCGAGGGTCCAACCAGCATAGCCAGCGAGCCTTTCCGCATCGGAATTGATGGTGAGCTTGCCGGTTTTGGCATTAATATTTGATTTCAGAACCGCCTCGCCTTAAAGCCAGCAGCTTTTATAGTTCGCAAAAAGTTAAGGATAGCATTTTTTTATTTAGCCTAGAACGTGATGAAAAAGTTGCCACAAAATAAGG